GAATTGCTTAGCTTCAGGGCCACTTCCTTCATCTTGTTTCATATGATTCAGTATGGAAACAGTCTATGAAACAGCCAGGCAAAGTCTCAAAAAACATTTAGGTGTCAGCATGTTTGTTATACATCCTATAATGGGGTTATATATAATAATAAGAATGAGCAAAATATGAAAGGGATTCCTATATTCCTAGATGTGGTTTTGAAAAAAAAGGCTTTAAGAATACTTGACTCAAGCACTCAGACACTGTCAGTCCCTAGACACTGACTGACCCAGAATGTCTTTCTCCTGGGAGCCACAGCTTCTGCATAAAGTATTCCTCTTGAGGAAGCCCGGGCAGGAAGGCCAACCTAGCACAGCAAGAGGAGGCAGACCGTATTTGAGAAGGTAACCTGGATCATACTTTTTACTTGTGGGAACCTCTCAAGAAATGGTTCAGACAGAAGGACATTAAGGAAAAGTCCATAACCAAGAAAGAGGACATCAAGAAGAGTTTCTGGAAGCCACAAGCTGTAGGATCAGCTACATTTATATCACAGGGGAAAGTGCCAGGCTTTCTTTATTTCAATTATGTCTACAGAGAGGGAGCAGCCAGGTACTAGTGGTGCACTATGCTGTGACTGTGAGCTGGGGTGATTGAGTGGAGTCCAGAGCCATGGAAATCAAGGTGGTATTCAGGAGAGCACTCTGAAATAGTTGCTGTAGCTTATTAATTGTAAGGCTTTGAGAATGGCTTTTGTACTCCAAACTACAAAGCAGGGATGTCAGTACTTGTTCTAGTTGTGCATTAACCTGTGTTTAAAGACCAGACTCTCTCAAGATGACAGTATTTTTCAGAGTATGAATGATAAAAAATAGCAGTCTGGCTAGTGTTCAACTCTTTTCTGATTGAGGCAAATCTATCCTACATATTCCCTTTCAGAATGAAATTCAAGTAATTTGCATTATTTATTCCAGGAAGACAGCTTTTCATTAATGAGTGCCAATAAAGGACTCCTAAAATTTTCACCATTTACAATTTGTTCCCTAACTAAATATACGATATGTGACTAGAATATGAAGATGTTTTAGAACATAAGTCCTGAACTAATTAGATTACAATCTTAACTTTCAATTAAGGCTGAATGGCAGGGAATCAGTTTCTATGGTCCCTCTGGGAAGATGTTGATACTATTAATAAGCTCTATTTTTTTTTTTTTAGAAAACCATACATTAGCAGTGAACCATAGCATGGGTAATGAGACAAATTATTATAATTACTAAAGACCCAGTGCATTTTATTAGGCACCGTCTTATTTTATTACTGCTAGAGTTGTATGAAGTTGATACTGTGATTAGCTCTATGCGTCTATAAATAAGACTCAGGTAAATATGGTTTTCCTAAGGTCATTATTAAGTTGGAGAGTGAAAACATAAAGCTACATTTGCCTGGTGTGAAAGGGAGCATCACTGAGCACCCAATTAACTGATTGTTAATGTCATGATAGGCAAGTGGGTTTTGATATGGACAGAAAGATTTCATGAGTGAACTTGGTATTGAGTAAACATCAGTTTACAAACAGAGTCTAGTAAGATCTAATCTACCATGTAAATGATAATGCAATCAAAGAAATCCATACCATCACCACTTTTGAGAAAGAATAGGGTTGGGGGGACTGGTTCATCTCTAAGATGAACATCTATCACTAGATATTGAATATAAAGTATATTCAACAAAAATTAATATAATGGTGTATTATGGTATCTTCTTTAAAGAGCAGATGTAGGGTGTTCTTATTGCTATTTATGCCAAATATTTATAAGTTTAAGTTAGAGTTCCTGTAATGAAATATACTGAAACAAGTCACTAATAGCAGAATCACGGTACAAAGAAGAGGTTGAATTTTCCTCTGGATGCTATGACAGAAAAATTGACAAAGCAGATTCAAAAGTCTAAACTTGCCCACATTTGTGATACTCTTTGATTAAACTGTAAGGCATTGAAATTTCATTTTACGTACATATAACCAGCCTGTGAGTTTTACTGGAGATGTGCTCATGAGTTGATATCAGCAGCACAACAGGAAATGGAGTTGAGATGTGGCCTTAGGGGATTTCATGTTTTATTTTCTAGGATTTGATTCTAATACCCCTCCTTAGCCAAAACTTACCCCTAAAATTCCCTTGCCTTTCTTATGTGTGCTCTCCAAATCGTTAGCATCCTTTCATTGTTCTAGATGCAAGATACCCTCAAATATTTCATTCTCTCTGTTTTACCTCTTCCCAGCCCTGGGGCCATTCTTAGACCCCCTCCAATTCTAGATCACATAAATTATGGTCTAAATTGTAAATTCTTTCCTTTTCATTCTTGAAGAACACCACACATCTTTTTTATTTTAGGATTTGATTCCTGAACACCATAGGACATCACACAAGAAGAAATTTAAAAGCACAAATATTTTACTAATGGTATAAAAATATTTCCATATTTTTCCTGCCTCTATAAACTTTAAATAACTACAATTTTAATAGACTTTTTCTTTTCAACTTATGATTATTCCCTACTTCCATATTTAATTTAGCAAAAGCACTGCTGCCCAAGGAAATTTGGTAACAGGGAGAAAGACACATGCTTAAATTCTAATTGCATAAGCTATGCATTGTTGAAAACACATTCTTTAGATTCATTTATCCTTAGCTTTGTTTTCCTATGTATCTGGTATGGCACTAACATCTACTTCATAGAGTTGCTTTGAAATATGAGTGAAGATATTTGGAAAGCTTTTAGTACAGTGTTTGATAAATATTTTCTTTTATTATAATAGTCAAATACAGTAGAAAAATAGCTATGTACATATCTGAATCAGGGAAAACAGACATCCTAAAGGCTCTTTGAATTCATACATTCTTAGTAGTTAGGCCTCTGTCTTCCTGAAATAAAATTTGAATTTTAATCATTCACTAATAATAAATTTGGTTGAATGTGTTGAGAGATACATTTGAAACATTTCAGTAGGGCAAAGTAATATACTATTACAGGTAAATAAGTGATAAATCTAAGAAATTTCAGAGAGAATGGCAGAACACTTCCTAAGATACAGCCAGCAGGCTATGAGACTTTGTTCTTTCTGGTGAATTAGTCATTACTCAGAGTAATTCTGATGATCAGTGAACTTGTTGCAAGCAACCAAAAAGAATATACCATGCTTGGCATTTGACTTAAAAGCTGATGAGTATGAATCAGAAGGAAAATATCAGAAATAATAGCTAAATCCCACTCAAGACACAAGTCATTAAGAATATTTATGCTTACCATAGGTAATTTGTTTTAAGCTCTTTGAGTATGGTTGTGAAATATTGTAGTTAGATTTTAGGATTTTTAATTTTCTGTACTGAAGTTAATGTTTCTATATTTAAAATAAGCTCCACACTGAATTTTTATTAAAGCAAATGGCATTATAGTTTAAGTTATAAAATAATGAAGATTGATTTTGACTAGATTCATATTTTTTACCATTAATTTTAGGGCATCTTAAAACTGCACAAACTGAACTGTGTTTACAGTTTCTACAACTATAAACATTCTAATTTCTACAGGTTCAGATCTGATTTTTTTTAAAGTAAAATGTGCATATGCTTAAATGTATAAATCTTATCTCTACATTTTGGACAAATTCTTGTATGCTATATTTTCTATCTTCTCAAAAACTCTTCTTAAGTCACTTCCCTGAGCAGTGAATAGATATTTTCTGTATCTAGGTTCTTATATGATCTAAAACTTCTATAAATATAATATATCATGCTGTGTAATTTTGAGATGTTACTGAGATTCTGAACATAATGTGCATTTTTTTCTGTACAGAAGAAATGGGAGAATTTAATAAAGAGTTTGCAGGTTTTTACTTGTTAAAAAAATAATAATATCTATAAAGGATATTAAGTAGTTAGTAGTCCCGCATAACTAGAGCAATCAGTAGTTCTACATAATGATTTTAGATTCATCTATGTTGTTGAGAGGAATTTCATTATGCAAACATTCCAAAATTGATTTATCTATTCACTTGTTGATAAGTATTTGGGTTGTTAGGGTATTTATGTATAAAACTGTTATGAGCATTCTTGTACAAGCCTTTGTGTGAAAGAATGCTTTCATTTGTCTTAAGTAAGTACTCAGGAGTTCAACTGGATATTTTAGGAGAATCTGTTGCTCCACATCTTTACCAGCATTTGATCTTGTCATGCATTATCATCTTGGTCTTCCTAGTGGACTGTGTAATATGTTGTTGTGGTTTTAATGTACAGCTCCTGATGCCTAGTGATTTTGAGAATAATGTCATTTGTATGTTTCCCTTTATCATTTGTCACTTTAAGTCTCTTCCTTTTCTACTGCTTGCTTTTACTATCTTTTAGTTGTAAACATTTTACATGTTCTTGACAGAAATTCCTTTTCAGAAACAAGGAATTGTGATTATATCTTGAGACTTTAGGTATTTACAAAATATTGTCCTTTATTAAAGCAAATAAAGGGAAGGTAACACCAAGAGAGCGGGGATTATGGCAGTTAGATGTTCAAAATTGGTATTTCCTCACCATCAAAGACATAGTGTCTCCCTACCCCAATTTCTCACTCTTTTTTTCATGACATTTTAGGGAGTTTTCACTTATCTATCTTTTCAACTCAATAACAAAAGTAATGTGTGAATGTTATAAAAGTTCTGGTTACTGAAAGGCTATTCAGTTTACATTAGCATATGCAGATGAGCCTTTTGCAAACAATGAGGTAAAGATGATCTTGGCTCACTATACCACAGAATCATCAGAAAAGATTGGTTCCTAACTTCTGTAACCACCATGGAATTTTAAAGGATAGAGGTAATAATTTGAATAGCTAATTGTACTTTAATTCCCTTCATTATAAGATTTTAGTTGGTATGCTATCATATACAGTGATTTCCAACCACCATGTACTCTATTATGTCTCCCCAGAAATAACTGAAGACAGTCTTTTCCGAGTCCTCGGCAGGATGTCCTCTGTCAATGACACTGCCTCATATCCCTCTGCCTTTCTTCTGCTGGGTATACCTGGTCTGGAAGCTTTCCATATCTGGATTGCCTTTCCTTTCTTTGTAGTTTATCTAATAGCATTTGTAGGGAATGTCACAATCCTGTTTGTGATTCACACTGAGCAGAGTCTTCATCAACCCATGTTCTATTTTCTGGCTCTCCTATCCTTTATTGACCTTGGCCTCTCCACTTCTACAATTCCCAAGATGCTGGGCATCTTCTGGTTCAACCTTAGGGAGATAAGTTTCGAAGGTTGCCTCATCCAAATGTTCTTTATCCACACCTACACTGGTATGGAATCTGTTGTACTCTTGGCTATGGCAATTGACAGATTTGTTGCTATCTGTTACCCATTAAGATATACAACTATTCTCACCAACAAAGTGGTAGCCATCATGGCCTCTATTGTAGTGGGGAGACCGGTCCTCCTTGTCATCCCCTTCTGCCCTCTTCTCAAAAGACTGCCCTTCTGTGGACACTACATTATCCCTCACACCTACTGTGAACATATGGGAATCGCCCGTCTTGCCTGTGCTAACATAAAAGTCAACATCATCTATGGCTTATTTACCATTGCTGCCCTCATCCTCGACTTGGTCCTTATTGCTGTCTCCTATGTTCAAATCCTACGAGCTGTTTTCCGCCTTCCTTCCAGGGATGCCAGACTCAAGGCACTTAGCACATGTGGTTCACATGTTTGTGTCATCTTAGCCTTTTACACACCAGCATTTTTCTCTTTTATGACTCACAGGTTTGGTAGAAATGTTCCTCGCTACATTCACATCCTCCTGGCCAATCTGTATGTGGTTGTTCCTCCTAGTTTAAATCCAGTAATTTATGGGGTCAGGACAAAGCAAATTCGGGACCGAGTTGTGAAAATATTTGTAAAGAAAGAGTGACCCAAAAGCGTACAGAACTTAATATATTCTTCCACACTAAACTTCTGCTTGTACATCTCTCAGTAAAAATAGATTGTGTAAATGTCACTCAGACATTCCTTCAGCCTTTATTAATCCATTAAACTCACATTCAATTGTTCATTTATGTAATTTCTACCTTGACTTCAATAGACTATGCTGGTTTTTCTCACTGAAGATGAGAAGAGATTATGGGGCCATGTAAAATATGTAATGAAATTATGAATGTTTGAGTACACCAATGTCTCCATGACAATAGGAAAATTTATGTACAGATTTGAAAAAAAGGAAGATTCTGGTGGCATGAAATTCTTTAGGATTTGACTCTGTCTTTCAATTACCTATTTGTCTGCCAATAACAATACTTTCATCTGGATAACATTTCTTTTTTTTTAAAGATTTATTAATTTATTTATACAAGCACTGGGTACAATCAGAAGTGTGGGAGGGTGAGAGAATTCATCAGAGTGGGGAACAGAACAGGCAGACCAATGAAATACACTGCTGAGGGGAGCAGAGGGAGGCAGGAAAGGTCTGCGCGCCATGTGAGACCCTCGCCAGCTGCCAGGGATTGAACGGGTGCTGCAGAGGCTGCAGACAGCTTTGCAGCCAGCGCTCAACTGCTGCGCCACCAGGGGAGGCCCAGGATAATATTTCTTTTTATTTATTTATTTATTTATTTATTTATTTATTTATTTATTTTTTAAAATATTAAATTTTATTTTTATATTCCCCCATACAATTGCAAACGCCCCATTCTGACCCCAATCCTTCCCCTCCCGCCCCCCCCCCCCAAAAAGTGTCTCTGGTTCATAGTTTTTTGTTGATTTTGATTTTCACTTTCTTATATTCATTTTCCTGGTCCCTTATTTAAGTTTTCTAGATTCCTGCTATGAGTGAGACCATCCGGTATTTTTCTTTTTCTTTCTGGCTTATTTCGCTGAGCATGATCCCTTCCAGCGCCATCCATGTTGCTGCAAATTGCATGTGTTTATCTTTTTTGAATGCTGAGTAATATTCCATGGTATATATGCACCACATCTTCTTGATTCACTCATCTATTTTTGGGCATTTGGGTTGTTTCCAAAGCTTAGCTATTGTAAACAGTGCTGCTATAAACATAGGGGTGCAGGTGCTCTTTGGAATTGATGTTTCTGTGTCCTTTGGGTAAATACTTAGGAGTGGAATTGCTGGATCATATGGAAGCTCTATGTTTAGTAGGTCCAGAAATCTCCACACAGCTCTCCATAGTGGTTGGACCAGTTTGCACTCCCACCAACAGTGCAGAAGAGTTCCTTTTTCTCCACACCCTCGCCAACATTTGTTGTTGCTAGTTTTTTTAATATGTGCCATTCTCACTAGTGTGAGATGGTATCTCATGGTAGTTTTGATTTGCATTTCCCTGATTACAAGTGATGTTGAACATTTTTTCATATGTCTGTTGGCCATTTGCATTTCCTCTTCAGAGAAGTTTCTTTTTAGCTCTTCTGCCCATTTTTTGACTGGATTATTTTCTTTGTTGTTGCTGAGTCTCATCAGCTCTTTGCAGATTTTTGTGATCAGTCCTTTATCATTAGTGTTGGGTGCAAAAATGTTCTCCCAGTTGGTGGGGTTTCTCTTTGTTTTTGTTATTGTCTCTTTTGCTGTGCAGAAGCTCTTTAATTTGATGTAGTCCCAGCTGTTTATCTTTGTCTTCACTATCACTGCTTTGGGTGATGTGTCTGTAAAGATGTCTTTGATGTGCAAATCCGGATAATATTTCTTACTATCAGTCAGAGGATTATTTCTACCTGCAGATTATTTATCCCTCAATTCTTTCTCTAAAAAAATGAAACTCATTCTATGTTGCCAGGTCCACATTATGAAACAAAACCAGTAAAAGGCATTCATGAAAATAAATTTATTTATCAAATTGCACAAAAAATGAGTTGAAAAATTATTGACAAAGACTACGCAAATTAAATTCTGTGATAACTAATAGAATGATATATCATGAACAAGTAGCACATCCCACAAATACCAGGGTAATTTGGCATTTAAAAAGCAATCAATATATTTTTCCCATACTTCCCAACAAAATTAACATATTATCAGATTAACATACATAGAAAAAAACATTTGGCATACATCAGGAATTAACAAATATAGAAATTAACAGTATAAATATTGTTAATCTGCAGTTCTCCGCAAAAGGATGGTATAAATTTATTCTTTTCTCAGGAATGAATGAATGTACATAGTTCACCTCATGTTTGCCAACATTTCACTCTGTATTTCAAGGGTGTAGATGCAAATTTTGCATTAGAACCAAGTACACAAAAGAGTTTTATTCTAAGAAATACCTAACTATTTTAGACCCTCAAAAACTAGCTCAGTAGTATTAATAAATGAAGAAATTAAAATGCTCCTGAATTTTAGGAGGTAAGATAGAAGAGTAAAGGAAGAAAACTGTAGCAGAATAACCAGATCTTTGGATCACAACGAGATTACATTCACTGGTCTCTGTTGCCATTTATGTTTGCAACGTTGTGTTCTGCTTGTTGGTAAATGCATCCATCTAAATGAGAAAGGTAATTATATTTGAAGAAAGGCACCTAAATCTATTCCTTCACAGTGTGTATTGAATGATAGACATAGAAAGGAGAGAAGGTGAAGAGAAGACTTGGAGGAGGCACATGGAGCAGAGACATGTCAAGATGTTGCACTTGCTTCTTGGCCTTGGACTTGTAACAGGGACTTGGGGGACATGGAAGGAGACCCCTAAAAGAGACAGAGATGTGGGTGAGAGACCCATGGGGAGCTTGACAACAGCAGACTTTATTTTCTAAGAAAACAACCAAGCCAGTGATATTATACCCAAAAAGTAATTTTTGATACATATATATTTAATGTTAATTATATATTTTGTTGAACATTAAATAATATAATATGTAAATATATTGTAAATGAACTGTATTACTTATTTTAATGTATATGTTAATGTATAATATGTCATATTTCACATATATGCAGAGTTTTACATAAACCACATAATATGTATTTGTGTATGTTATATATATCCCCAAAGGACTATCCATTAAAGCCTTTTATTCTGAAATTAATATTAAGGTGATAACTGGAGTAACTTAGTTTCTTACCATATCTAAGAATTTAGAATACATACGCGAAAGTAGGATTGGTGAGCTCTAAATTAATGAACAAATTTGAAAATAATAACAGTTGCTACATTGCTGTCTTTATTTACCAAATAAAATTCTAAGAGTTATTAACAAGTGTCTAATTGCTGATTTGTATAAAATCTGATGATGTCACTATTATTATTCTAAATATACAAAAGAATAAATGTAACACTTTACATAACCTAAGTATTCCTCCAAACTCACAAGCAGCATTTGCCAGAAGAAAAAGATACCTTGGCTCCACTCCAAACTTCGCTTTTGTTCCACTACAATACACAATCAAATAAAGGGAAAGCTCATGTTGAAAGATTTTTCATACCACTTATCACAAATGATTGCCACAGGAACAATAAGGAGAGAATTTCTAATTTACTTCTGCTTTATAAATGTAGTTTGATGGGTTGATTAACATGGTTTATAACACAATAAAATAATCCTAAATTTTCTATTCCAGTATCTCAGTTGATAACAAGATGTTCATTTTGGAAGTAGTAGTATGTTATTTCTTACTAAGTTTTCTTAAGGCCAGAGATTTAAGGATGTTTGTATCAGTTGACTGGTGGACTAAAACTTCTCATGGATGGTTGAGGAAAACTTCAAGAGCATCTTGATCTAACCTTACTAGTGTCTGGTTACATGTTTTGGAACTGATGTACCTGTCAACAATGAGGCTGTAACTTATCTTCTTCTAATGCATGTCTGTTTTCAACACAGCAAAGTCTCAGGAATCCACAATAATTTTGTATATTCATTTCTTAGCTCTAGGAGGCTCTGCCTCATAGCAGCATGCTGCAGTGTCCTCATCATCCCCTTGCTTCTTGGACTTGAGCAAACATAGATAAATGACTTATCTGTCCCTCCTTTTTAACTGTGTTGTGTTGAATTAAAGGCAGGGACTCAGTTTTGAATAATTCCCTGCATGGAAGACTGACTGCAGTGTTTACAGTCCCTCTTAGAGGAGTCCCAGGAGTTCCAGACTGTGCAGCAGATCTTTCCTTACCTTCTAGAAAATATATATGATACCTGAGAAAGTGTACATTTGTCTGTTACACAATGACAGTTGGCGTGAAATTTGATTTGAGTGAGACTGAGGGAGATTTTTAAAACTATAATTTATTTGCTCAAGTTCTATATCTCTGACCTCATTAGTTCATTTGACATTAAGAATGTGGTCACATGTCTGAGAGGGTAATGCAGAAATAAAGTTGAAAACTGAATGTCTATTATAGTCAGATGTAACATACATGGCATTGTGCTGTTTTGCTCTCTCTCTCTCTCTGCATTTATATTTACAAACATTATATATCTATTCTTATATACATACACACATACACAGATTCACTTCTATCTATACATACATATGCAGGTACATTCATATGTATCTATAAAAAGTACTGTACCTATAAAAAGGATAGTGATATATATATTCCAAACAAAATGCAGATATACACAGGCATATATTTGTATATGTGTGTCATTATAACAATTTCATATTCAACAATTATTTATTCAATGCATACTATGTACCTGAATCTATGTTAGATATTTTGGAGAACAACATTTGAACACACAGACAACTTCCCTCCTTCCTTTCAAGAATCTAGCCCACTAGTGAGGGGACCATATATCACTATTATTTTAAATGATGAACTACAGAGAAATTACATAGGATTGCATTTTAACAAATCATTGGAGCGTCTGTTTTAAGTTTATTAGTCATTGAAATCCCTGTAGAAGAGGTGACTTTCGATAGAGACCTAAATAAAGAGAAGTGTGTAAAGAAATGATGTAAAGATAGATAATGAAAAGAGTCTGACACATTTCAAAGAGAAAATAAATATATCTTGAAATTGGAGTACATTTAACAGGTTTGAGGAACAGCAAAGACCATTGTCTGTTTGGAACCACTTAAGAGATTTTATATCAAAGACTTTTACTCAGAGGTCTTTATAGAGTAGTTTAGGATTTGAATTTAGTTTTAAACAAATGACAAGTCAAAGGAAGATTTTGAGAGTGGAAATGATTTGAATGTCCATATGTAATAGAATATAGAGAAGTAATTTTTCAAATCAGTAATTTTTGTTGAGATGACAACCTTGTTTACATTGTTGTTTGTATTTTAGGAGTGTACGGCCTCCCCACTCAGTTGTTGTTGCTATAGCACAATAATTTTTTATTGTCACATATTTGATTGAACCATCAGAGCTAATCTAAAAAAGTGTGGGTAAGCTTCTACATGCCTCAAACAAAATGAGGGAGTATCAGCTGATATCTTTCTCTCAGGTTAGGTGACCAGAGTCTGAGGTAACTGAAGTCTGTGAGCATGATGTAAACTTTAGGCTAGTATTCAGGCTTTATCTCATTATTTAAATGAACACTCCAAACCAACAGTATTTATCTGTTCCGAGTCCATTTAAAAAATTCCCGATTCCCCTATGAATCACTAAAACACCCTAAAACAATCATGCAAACTTATAACAATTATTCCCATTTCATATAGATATATCAACAAAGATTACCTAATTATTTATGCTTGTAAGATATAGTATACATGCAAGAACAAAATCAGATAGGAATTATTTATGTTTTTCTTTATATTGTTCATAAATATTCTACCCGTCTGTGTTAAAAATAACACATACTGTTTCATAAATTATGAAAAAAATACAGCATATTTATATTCATTTCAGTAGCAAATTAAAATGTAATAAACAGGGCAAATTAAAATGGTTAAGTACTTAATGAGATTGAATAATTTTTAATGTCAGTAAGAGAGAAATCAATTGTTGAGTGGTAGGTAAAGTCAAAATCTACAAGCAACTATAAACCAGAGACACACTACAGAGTAGGGAGGAGGGAGTAGGATCAAAACAAGGAGGGGTGGAAATTGTATGGGGACTATAACCAAGATGAAAATGTATACATTGTGCAAAAATGAAAAATGATGTAAAACTTGTATAAAATTAAAAATAATAATAAATAAATAAATAAAAGAAAAAATAACACAACAAAAGTAAAAGAATGAGCATCTAATGTGTGGGCACTTCTCAGTCTCTTAGGCTGATATATACTCTTTATAGTCTTTTCTACTCCCTTAGAAGATGTTTTCACTAAAAATGCAAGGGAACTGACCATGATAAAACAAAATAATTTAAAGAATATAAGGAAAAGATAGCACCTTAAAGAGTGAAGGCTATAGCTTTCCCTACCTCCATTTGGGTAGACTTAGCTCAACTTAAATATTTTATGGCAGTCTTTGCGTATACAGTGTGTGTGTGTGTGTGTGTGTGTGTGTGTGTTTTCATTCAACTAGTGAACATTTAGAAAATGTTTGCAAGTTGTATAGTGAATATTCAGATATAAGATTTCATATAATTAAGGATTTCTAAAATCTAACATCAGAAAAACTAGTAAGAGCATTTATTTCTGGAAGTGGGAGTAGCAAGGATCTGCATGAAACAACTAAAATACCATAAAATATAGGAAGCAAAGGCACTGAATCTAATGGACATCAGGCATGAAGATAATGAATCTGAGAGATGGGAAGCCCATGAATTTTGTTTGTTTGGTTTTCTTTTTGGTAATTGTCCAAGCTTAGTTCAAAGGGAAATTTACCAAAATATACTAGAGAAAGATAGAATCTAGGCAGAGTGCAGTTTGTTTCCTAACTTCAAGATCTGGAGCTGGGATTCTTGGGATAATAAAACAATTAGACTTAGTAGATCAGAACCCAGAGATACATAATCTGCATAGAAAGAAAATTCTGTTGAACTTTAGAAGGTCTGCTATTGAGTACTCACTTCCATACTGATTATTTCTCATAAGAGTTTCTCATAATTGATGGTGATGCAGATTATTAAAGAAGGCTAGAATGAGGCAAAAAGGGCACAAGATGAAAGGTTGCTCTGGTTTCATATAGAACAGCTTAAAAACAAAACCTGAAGAAATGAATCCATTTTTAAATAACCTAGTCAAGTTACAGAATAAAGCTTAAAAATGCTTGTAGGAATAAGAATAAATAACATCAAACAAGGTAAAATTCACAATGTCTGGCATCCAATTTAATGATGCATACTTCATGAAAAGATGTAGGAACACTAAGCTCATAATAAGTGAGGAATAAAAATAAAAATAATCAAAATTGACTCAGAAATATCACTGATACAGGAATTGATATTAATATTAAAGCAATTATTATAAAAACATTTGATATCTTTGAAAACCAACATTTAACATCCAAGTGAAGGGGAAAATTGGGTTAGAAATTCAAATTTTGGAGCCTCCACAGGGTAAAGTCTCAGTGCTATCTTGGCTGCGGCCTGAGTTTGATCCCGGCCAGGTTGCTAATCCACATGGTGCAGCAGACCTTTCCTATCTCGCCAGCTGCTCCCCTGAGCAGTGTATTTCAGTAAATCTGCTTGTTCTGCTCCCCGTTTTGTCTCTGATGAATTCTCTCAACCCCTGCACCTCTGGCCCATACCCCAATTCTTCTATACATAAATAAATCTTTAAAAAAATTCAAATTTCACCATCAAAGTAAACTGCTATTGCCTGACATCTGGAAGCTCACGAAAATGTTCTATTCCTCCTTGTTTTCATTCATTCTGACTCAGAAGTCACTTGATGAGAATAAAGCATTTGTGGTGGCAATTGTTTAACATTAAAGCATTTGGACGTAAAATTACTGATTATATTGACTAGATCAGCAAACTTAAGAAGAAAAAGCTAGGGAGTGAGATGGTCATAGGAACATTTGAAAAGTTCCAGCACATTCCTGGGAATCTGGAAAACCACATGGCCATGTATAAGCCCATGCACAGGATTAAAAATTAAAAAAAAAAAACTATCAAAATAGAAACATAGCTTACTAGACAAAGAGTTGCTTATAAACTCTTTTAAATGCTCTAAGAACTTAAAAAGACCATGTATAAAAAACAAGATGAAAGTTTGAGAATTATGTGAAACCAATTTGAGAATAAAGAGATAGGAATATTAAAAGAACCAAATAGGAGCTCTGGAGTAGAAAAGAATCATAAATGTAAAGTAAAATTCAGTACTGGTACTCAAAAGCAGATTTGAACTAGCAGAAAAAATAATGAATGATAAGACTTTAAGGTAGATCAGATGATGCTACCCAACCAACCAGAAAATCAGGGGAAAAAATGTGGAATAATGAACAGTCTCAGAGACCTTCAGGATTCAAAAACAAACTAATAATAAAACACCAACCTCCCCAAAACAAAAAGAAAATGGGAGAAGGGACAAAAATAACATTTGAAGATTTAACAATCACCAATTTTTAAAATTTAGTGAAAATCTTCACTCTTCACATCCAGGAAGCTCAGCAAATTCCAGGTAGAATTAAGAAAAAGATAGTCTTACCTAGGGAATCATAGTCTAACTTTTGAAAGCAAAACATAAAGGGAAAATCTCAAAAGTGCAATTATGCTTTCAAATACATTTCAATATCAAGACTTTAAGGAACCCCCTCCTGATTCCTTTGGTTTTAAACACATTTCAATGTTAAGAATTTAAGCAAGCCCTCCCTGATTCTTTTGGTTTTAACACCATAAATAATAGGATTCATCATGGGTGGAATAAGAAGGTATATATTTGCTATAATAATGTGGACATGTGGAGCAATATGGTGGCCAAACCTGTGAGTGAGGAACGAGAAAAAGGCTGGTGTATAAAACATCAAGATGACCCATACATGGGAGACACAAGTACTTAAAGTCTTGAGACGGGCAGCTTTGGATGGGAGTTTAAAGACTGTAAGAAGAATAAGGGCATAAGAACAGATAATCAATAGGAAATCCAGTCCCCCAGTCAGGAAGGCCACAATTAGACTGTAGGCTCTACGAATCTTGATCTCAGTACAAACAAGCTTTGCTAGGGCCATAAACTCACAGTAAGTGTGGGAGATGACATTAGTCCTGCAATAGGAGAGCCACCTCAGTAAGAAGGGGTGTGGACTGAGGAGTATAGCTCCTCTGAAGACAACAACCAAGCCCAAACTGACAATCACTGCAGGTGTTAGGATAGTGGAATGTCTTAGTGGATGGCAAATGGCTATGTAGCGGTCAAAAGCCATAGCTAAGATAAATCCAGATTCCATAGTAGACAGAGAATGGACAAGATACATTTGAGTGAGACAAGCTTCAAAGTAGATCTCTCTGTCATTGAACCAGAAAAGGCTGAGTATCTTGGGTAGTGTAGAAGAAGTTAGCATCATATCAACCACAGAGAGCATACATAAGAAGAGGTACATAGGTTCGTGCAGTTGGTGGTCTGTCTTGATAATTAATAAAAGGGCAATATTTCCCATCACTGACAATAGGTAGACCAGGCAGAAAGGGATAGAAATCCATATGTGGGCTGCCTCCAATCCCGGAATTCCAATCAGTAGGAAGATGGCAGGCTGAAGATTAGTCCTGTTGTAAGTTAACATTATGTGAGCTATGTTATTCCATCATCCTGTCCAAATTAAAAAACACATATAATGATGCATAACTGAAACTTATATAACAATGCAATTTACTTCAATAAAGAATTAAAAACAAAAAGATTATAAAAATACAAATACCAAATTTTTTCATTATTACAAGCTGGGAGAAATGTCAACTTCAAATCATATACAACTAGTTATTGAATGATTTTTTTCAGCAGTGCAATTTTACAATTACATCAAATATATGGGACTGGACTTTTTTTTTTTTTTTGGTAAGAACACTTAGAAAATTTTCTATTTATCTATGTGCCCATCTATCATCTATCTTTATCACCTATCTACTTACCTATGATCCATTCATTTAGTTCTTACCTTGCCTTTATTTTTTCAGGAAGTGATCCAGTTACCAGGTACGTTTTAGCATATTATAGTATTAGTGTAAAGGTAGTAGTTCATATATTGCTGAATATCAAGATATACTTTTCTACCAGCTGAGAGTAAAAATAGTGACAGTGTTGGATGAACAACCATTTGTATATTTAACTCCTTTTCCCCTCTTCCCAATGATAGGACTTACAAGAAAGGAGACTTGGGAAATGCTAAAGAATTATTGGGGCAAATTAGCTAAAGAAGCATAATAATGAGGTCTGAACAAAAGTGGTCTTATAAGAAAGGTGAGTTATTGAATTAATAAAGGAAAGACCTTGTCTTTATAAAAGCAGCTAAATTTAATGGCACTAAATCATTTTATAAAGGACTACCAAATAGATAAAATGACTAAGTCTGGAAAATATGGATGTTTAGGTTACTAAATATCTGCGCTCCTTTGTAATTACCAATCAGACTCCTCCATAAGGTAGATAGCACATTCATCAATCACACAATACACTTGACACTTGTCCAGCAAACTTTTGAATTCAACATTGGCATCCAGGTATTAGCTTACCAGAAAATGTGACTTGGTATGTGTGAACAATTATTTTGGACAGACATTCTAACAATACAAAATTTTAAATTAATAAATCATTATTTTAGTTCAAATATGAAACATCCTTTTAGTCTGAATAAAACTAGGCATAATAATAAGAAAAAATAACAGCTTTGACCAGTATAGTTCAGGAATCAATACTAGGGCTAGGTTAGTAAATGTTATGATCAATGTGTGTATCTCAGATTCAATACTGAGTTAATCACCTTCTTCTATATTACTGTTTTCAAGCCAAGAAGTTGAATCCTCTTTCAGACAACCATAACCACTGATCTTCACTTCTTAAGAGTGGACACAGAACCTCCAACCTAAGCTTCACCAGTCCCTTCTCAGAGAAGTACTAAATTTCCCCTTCCCACGTCAATTACAACTCTCCTGCTTTTTTCCAGGTTATCTTACCTCTGTGATGTGCTGGATTAATTGTTTACCCTGATACTCAGCTTAATATTGACTATAGCTATACCAGGTGCCATTATACATTTTATCCTGGGGGACCAGGGGTCTGCAAGGAATATCCTTATATGGCCTCTCAGGAGAATGCTATCTTTTGTAAGTCTCTCCAGGCATGTTTGGGATTTTTGGAGGGAATCAGTCTTGGGGCATCCACACCACCTGAGCCCTGAGCTTAGAAAACAATCTCTGGATTCCAAGTTTCTTAAGATATTTGATTTATTTTACCCCTTGGACTTAAGCATGCATAGATGCTATCAATTAATACTTTCTTATACCATGCGTGATGAGAACAGGAAGGAGTAGACCATACCATGTAACCATGTTTGTAAATTAATCAGGGTGACCGCATTAATATTCCAACCTGCCTCCAAATGTTCTTAAGTAAAATACCCAAATCACAATTCATTCTGATAAAAAAATAAAAGCTCCAGGACATTTGTTATTCACGTTACTCCCTGAACTTGTTTGATTAAGTACAGAGTCTGTGTCATTTCTTGTGCAAGAATATCACTATTTGTGTTTTGGGTGAAATGCCACATAAAGTTTGGGTATCTTTTCCTACAGAGGTGTTCCACCTCACCTTCCTTTCTTGCTGAGTATTTCAGGAGGGACAGGCTTGACAGGCTGTTTTCCAGGACCATAGATTACCTGTATTTATGCTGGGCTTGTTCAGTGGGGTTGCTGCCAGGAAAATATTAGAGAAGGGAAAAATTGCCAGGATATTTCCCCTTGTTTCTTGCTCTCTTCAACTGCATTTACTCCATGGCTCCGGATCGTGCCAGAGTTGACTTCCATGATCTCCACTTCTATTTAGAGACCCATATTCTTGAGATATGATTAAACTACTGGTGCCGCTCTCTGGTTTGCAGACTTACAGTTGGTGTGGTTGTCTGTATTTTATCATAATTGGCTTCTTGGAAGTTGTATAATTTGTGTAAATAATTATCAGTATTAAAGATTTCGTGTACTAAATATTAAAGTGTTTTCTTTTTCCTGGTTAGATTCTGACTATTCTAGATGCTTTCCACCATAACGTAAGGGCTAGTGACTTTGATAATTGGTTGATTTGAAAGAACAACAGATTGATTATTGTCCTTTTTTGTTAGAAAAGGGACAATAAAAAGCTACCAGCAAATTCAATATAATAAAGGCAATATGGAAATACACACAGCTAATAGTGTGTTTGATGAAGTACTGAACGCCTTCCCTCTATAATCAGAGACAAGGTAAGAATGCCCATTTTCACCAATTGTATTCAACACGGCAGTAGAAAGTACTAGAAGCAATTAGACAAGACAAATACATAACAGGTATCCAAATTGGGAAAGACTATGTAAAATCACCTGTTTATAGCTGATGTTGTTTTGTAAGTAGAAAAGCATAAAGAGCACATGCACACTCACACACACACACACACACACACACACACACACACACACATGCTTCCCAACTAAAACTAATAAGTGAATTCAGCAAAACTGCAGGACACAAAACCAACACAGAAAAATCAGTTGCATTTCTAAATGTTAACAATGAACAACCTTAAAAAATAAATTATTAATTATGAACTGAGTATTGATAAATCCAGAGAGATTTCTCTGTGTGTTTAACTATGAGTGCCATCATCTTTTCTACTTCCATTTATTCTTGAACGATATATTTTATTGATTCAACTTAAATCAAGCCACTTTGACCATTAATGTTCTAACAACATGCTCCCGTATTTTCTTGGTCCTTACTCCATACACAATGGGATTGAGGAAAGGAGGTACCAACAGGTACATATTTGCAATAAAAATATGGATATGTGCAGGTATATTTTTCCCAAAACGGTGAGTGAAAATGGAAAAGCCAGCTGTGGAATAGAAGACAAGAATAACACAGACATGAGATCCACATGTGCCCAAAGCCTTGAAGCAAGCCTCCCGGGAGGGCAGGCGGAACACTGATCGGAGAATGAAGGCATAGGACACAGCAATGAGAATGGCATCGCATGAGCCGATGATGGACGCCATACTGAGACTGTAACTCTTGGTGGCCCCTATGTCCTTACACGCTAGCTTCACTACAGCCATGAACTCACAGTAGGTGTGGGCGATAATTCGAGTCCTGCAGTAGGGCAGCTGTTTGAGCAGGATGGGGTGTGGAGTAAAGAAGGCCACTCCCCGGATCACCACTAAAATACCCATTACACAAATGCGAGCGTGAGTGAGAATGGTGGTGTGGCGCAGTGGGTGGCAGATGGCCACGTAACGGTCAATGGCCATGGCCAGGAAAAAACCCGATTCCATGGCAGTGAAGCTGTGAATGAAGAACATCTGGGTCAGGCAGGCCTCAAAGGCGATGTCGCGGGCTCCGAACCAGAAGAGGCAGAGCATGCGGGGCAGCGTGGACGTGGAGAGCACCAGGTCCGTGACGGACAGCATGCACAGAAAGAGGAACATGGGCTCGTGGAGGCTGCGCTCTGCTCTCACCACCGCCAGGATGGTCACGTTTCCTACCACGGCCACCACGTACATGGAGCAGAAGGGAATCCCGATCCAGACATGCAGGTGCTCCAGTCCTGGGATTCCCACCAGCAGGAAGGTGACAGGAGAGGGTCGAGAAGTGTTCAGAGGAGGCATGATGGTTTATTCTTTGCTTTTTATCAGCACATCTGAAGATGAAGTTCTATGCCAGGACTACAACCAGATGCTGAAAAATATGGAGATTTTGATTGGAGGATTATTAATGATGTATTGTTTCATTTGTTTGTTTTTAAGATTTATTTATTTATGCATACAAGAGCTGGGTGCAGGCCAGAGATGCAGGGAGTGAGAGGATTCACCAGAGACAGAGTGGGGAGCAGAACAGGCAGACTGACTGAAATACACTGCTGAGGGGAGCAGCTGTCCAGAGGAGAGGTCTGCTGTGCCATGTGGGTAGCTCCCAGGCAGGGCATGGAACTCCATGCTGCAGTGGCAGCAGATTGCTTCATAGTGCTGTGTCTTAACCACTTGCGCCACTAGGGAGCCTCCTTAATGATGTATAGTTAAAAAAAAGGATTCAAATTCATAATATGGGGGTTTTAATTCACTGAAACCAGATTAATAACATTAGTGATAAGGTACAAATTATTTTGCTTCTGTCTATCCCTGTCTTGCCATGATATTGAAGTCTCTGGCAGAGCTTCCGAAGTAGGATTATTATCAGTCTTTCGTTTGCTGCTCCGTACAAGTGACTCATCTGGGACAGTATTCTAATATTGCTTTTCTTACTATTATTGTGTTCTTCTATCACATACTCTTTAAGTAGGCACACATTATGTTCTTTTGAACCAAGAAACAACATATCAATGCTAATGTATTTCTTAATAGAACAGAATCACTATCTTCATCTTTGTCCACACTGACATCATTTCACTATACAGATGGATCCTCATAGTGCTCCTTCATTTGTTATCTAAAAACCCAGATTCTAAAACATGCAAAGCAGTTTATTTTTTGGATGGGCATAATGATACAAGAATATCAATTACTGAATAAAGCATAATTTTTTATACGTCTGTCTATAGTTCTAA